CGTTCAGATTTGTGAAATTATAAAATTTCTCACAAGTTTATATTGTGCATTAATATTCCTTTCTATTTTTGTCTTAGGGTACCAGGTTTCCATATAATAAAAAATAAAACATCAGATAAATACATTTATAAAAAAGCTTTTCTTTTTCTACTTCTTTATTTTATTATTATTATTATTATTATTATTATTATTATTATTATGTTGATCTATGGGGTCTCCATTGTGATCAGCATTTTCACTGGAGCAAATGGTCCCTGTAGAGACAGGTGTGCCTCTGCTTTTCATGTGCAGGTGTCCTGCTGTTCAACCGGCTGCTGCTGACTAATTACACAAACACATATGTACACACACTGACTAAACCACTCAACATTTTAAACCTCATTTCAGGTCAGTTCATTAAACTAGTCAAGCGCAATGCCCAACATTGGAGTTGTCATAATGACAAAATGCATGTGAGCAAAGCAGATATAGAAATAACTTTTTTCCATCAAAGTGCAATAATTGTCATTTGCAATTGGTTTCTAGTGGTTCATTTTTATGATAAATAATTTGTATATAATTACCTTATATGTACATATAATTATATGTACATATTATATTATCTATCTATCTATCTCTCTATCTATCTATCTATCTATCTATCTATCTATCTATCTATCTATCTATCTATCTATCTATCTATCTATCTATCTATCTATCTATCTATCTATCTATCTATCTATCTATCTATCTATCTATATATATATATATATATATATATATATATATATATATATATATAATATACATATTTTTATATTGAAATAATGGTCATAAATGGTTATCAGGGAACTGAACAAATCAATTGAAATTATCAGTCATGTAGTAAGCAAACTCAAATATAGCTGCCTATAGTATAGAATTTCAGATGCAACACCAGTCTTTGGACAAAACAACTCAAACATAAAAAAGAGAAAGACTGGAGAAAACTACATTTATCATAACATAATTTATAAAGTGATGAGAGTAATGTGACCCATAATAGCAAAGAAAATTTTAAGTTTTTGTCTTGCCTTTTATTCTGCTCTTAAAAGTTCATATTTCCAAGTTACTCAATTCAAATTACCTGGCCAGCTAATCAAAGACTTGGGACACACAAGATGTAGTGGCTCACACTCTTTTTAGTATTTAAGTGTTGTCCGCGTCTCATATCTCCCATCTACCTCTTTAAACATTTCCCAATTGTCCCATTTTGATTTTCAATATATTTTTGTAAATATTTATTTATTTATTGTTCTTTTGATATACAGTTGAAGTCAGAATTATTAGCCCCCCATTGATTTTTTTTTTCCCCTTTTTTAAATGTTTTATAAATGATGCTTAACAGATTCAGGAAATTTTCACAGTATGTCTAATAATATTTTTTCTTCTGGAGAAAGTCTTATTTGTTTGATTTCAGCTTGAATAAAAGCAGTTTTTAATTTTTAAAAATCATTTTAAGGTCAAAATTATTAGCCCCTTTAAGCTATATATTTTTTCGATAGTCCACAGAACAAGTTATCATTATACAATAACTTGCCTAATTATCCTAACCTACCTAGATAACCTTATTAAACTAGTTAAGCCGTTAAATGCCACTTTAAGCAGTATAGAAGTGTCTTGAAAATTTTCTAGTAAAATATTATTTATTGTCATCATGGCAAAAATAAAATAAATCAGTTATAACAAGAAATGAGTTATTAAAACCATTATGTTTAGAAATTTGTTAAAAATCTTCTCTCCGTTTTGAGAGAAAAAAATAGAGAAAAACTAATCAGAGGGGCTAATAATTCTGATTTCAACTGTACATATCTTTTGTAAATAAAACTCACTCTATTGCATTTAGTTAGTCTTGGTTTTTTGTTCCTCACTAGTTGCTATTGTGTTTTTGCTTATGTGTTTAATCCAAAATTTATGTTACTCTCCTCCCCCTTAACTTACCATCTTTAAGACTGTAACAGGCAGATTATTGAAAAGTATGTTCTGGGTAATCATTGCTATGACAACTCTATTTACATTACTACCTGTACATTACATCAGCACACTCTGAGTGGGCCTGCGACACCTGCACAGATTCTCTCTTCTGTGTAGTTGCCAATTTTTGGGTGGACTTGTTTATTCACAGCTGACATTTAACACTCATTTTAAGAATGTTTTTAAAATAGTTTTATCATTTAAAGAACATTGCATGTATAAAACAACGTTTCTCTCACTGCTGATAAAGAAAGGCTTATTCCTGCCTCATTCCTATCTGCAAGTTTATTTAAGAAGCTGCAGTTTGTGCTAAAACCAACTGCTCCCATTTAAACTAATACACCATTTTGTTGTCATATTACCTGCTTTCTCAATTACACTGGTTTCCAGTTCCATCACGTATTGATTTTAAAAGTACTTAACTTAAAAAGCAATACATGGGCTGGCCCTAGAATATATTTGTAATTTGGTCTCATTCAGGGACATGCAGGTATTTTGAGAAGCTCAAGTGAAAAAAGGGCAAGTGTGTAAAATGAAAGTTTTGTTGTGACTTGTCTATTTAGAATTTAGTATTTATATCTGTGACATAAAAGTGAGCTTTCTAAAGACATCCACTGGAGCCAGAATAAAATATCTTTTTAGAGTTGATTATTAACGTCTAAGTGACAAAATGTGAACGTTCCAGAATAAACATTTTTGCTACATCAGCTATGAATCAAAGGTGATATTCATGCACATTTTGGCTGTAAAACCAGCTCTTTAATCAGTTGTAGCCTAAATCTCCAAAGTGTCAAGACTACAATGTACTACAGTCACACTTGCTCTAAGAGAACTGTTTGTTAAGACTGTGCAGATTAAAGTTATTAACATTGCAAATACTTTCTTATTTTCAATACAATTCAAGTTTTGATTGATAACAATAGTTCAAAATTAAATTTCAGCAGTGGTGGAAAGAGTACTGAAAAATCATACTCAAGTAAAAGTACCATTACTTGCCTAAAAATGAAGTGCAAGTAGAGTAAAAGTAACTGTTGTAAATATTACTCAAAGTATGAGTGAAAAATAGACCTTTCAACAATACCCAAGACAAGAGTAGTGGGTAGCGAGTACGCTGTAAACAGCTAATGCATTTACATTTAATTTGTGGATGTGTGAAAATGCAACTTTCTGTATTGCAATTAGTCATCATTGCCCAGCAGGCACACAACATCATTAGACATTAATATTAGCTTAGATGTAGGTTGTGACGTCAGGTGACCAAAATTCAATGTCTAGCCAGCGTCTAAGGACAATGTTTTTTTGATGTGTCTAATAGCAACATCAAATGACAGTGATATTAAATTGATTTTAGGTTGTGTTAGAATGTGACCAAAATCCAACGTCAAGCCAACATCTTAAAGCAACGTCATATTGATGTTGAATACTGACATTTATTTATCAAGTATAGCAACCAAAATCCAACGTCTGATGGACGTCATAGTGGTAACGTACACACAACGTCAAGATATAACATCATCAGATCTTGATAATTGGTTGATTTTAGGTTGGATGTTTGACATCTTGGCCTGACGTTGAGTTCTGACATCAACACGATTTTAATTTCCAAATAATATGCAACGTTCCTACAACGTTGGGGTACACCTTCAATCTGACGTTATGTTGACATCTTGTGCCTGCTGGCTGTTTAAGGTCATTTCGGACGTCATAAAGTAAAGATCCGTCATCTTTTCATCAGTGACATGCATCTGAACAGTCTCTGGGTCAATGTGTGTAAAGATTTTGGACGTCTTCTTGGACACTTTTAATGCTTCCAAACAGTTTGCAGCAATTATAAATCATCCATGCATTGAGATACTTCATTATGATTTATTTGATTGGAAAGGAATCACAGGACAGATTTTTCTAATCCCCATAGACAAGAAAAAATAAAGCGGGTTGAAGGAAAGTAGTGCAGTAAAAGTACAAATGCAGCACAAAAAATGTACTGAAAGGAAAGTAAAAGTACACATTTATAAAAATACTTAGTAAATTATAATCCCTGAGTAAAACTACTTAATTACAATCATTTGAGTATTTGTAATTTATTACTTTACACCACTGAATTTCAGATATCAACAATGAGGCATCACGGTGGCACAGTGGGTAACACGATTGCCTCAGAGCAAGAAGGTTGCATTCAGTTGCCATTTTTGTGTGGAGTTTGCATGTTCTCTGCGTGTTCGTGTGGGTTTCCTCAGGGTACTCTAGTTTCCCCCACCGTCCAAATACATGTGGTATTGGTTGATTAAATAAGCTACATTGGCCGTTGTGTGTGTGTGTGTGTGTGTGTGTGTGTGTGTGTGTGTGTGTGTATATGCAAGAGTATATGGGTGTTTCCCAGTGTTGGGTTGTGACTGGAAGGGCATCTGCTGCGTAAAACATATGCTGGATAAGTTGCTTATTTCGCTGTGGCGACCCCTGATTAATAAAGGGACTAAGCTGTAAAGAAATCAAATGAATGAATATCAACAATGAATATCAAAAATCTAATGGTTGATGTCAAAAAAAATTCCAACATTTATTTATTTATTTATTTTATCTTCAGAATCCAGATGTTCGAAAAGTTGTATATTGGCCAAATATTGTCCAATCCTACCAAATCATATATTATTAACGTTTTTATTGATAAATAAATCTAAAATGGTCCAGGGGCACAAATGTGTCACTGAAGTGCAAGTTAGCTCTTTAAGTGACTTCAAATGTCATTGGAGAGGTAAGTCAGCATCAGCACTGCTACATCAAACCTATTAAACCTCTGATGTTTTGAAAGCGCCAGTAAACGTAGGTAATAAAACAGAAAGAAAAAGGCAACCTGTCGGAGCTTTACATCAGTTTATCCAGCGTCCCCTCACCCTCCCTCCCTACACGAGGATTACAAGTGGCGTTCAATGAGCTCGACTCCACTGCGCTGTATGCAGACGCACGCGCTCCTGACGAGACAAAGACAATGAGCTGTCACAGTTTCAGATGAATTACTGTGAGTTCTGAGAGAAAGACATGCTGAAAGGAAAGTCCAAAGAGCGACAAATCGGTCTGTTGTACTCTAGGAACCCGCTGCTGGATCAAGACTACCTGTGGGCGCTGTAGTGAAAGGAACAACAGCTAGCGGCGTTATCAATCTACCAGCGAAACACACAACACACATTTATATGGCAAAGTTCCTCGCTGAGCTGCTGGGATGTACACTGCCCGAGAAAGGAGCATCTCCCATGTTCGAGGTGAGATTTAAGTCTGTTTGTTGACATTGTAAGCTACTATTGTGTTAGACTGTAATCTCAGATTTTTGGTTTAACAATGATTTGTTTTGGTTCACCGAAAATTAGCCGGGGTTTAATAATGTTTTGGCCATGTAGATTATTATTTGTATTTATCACAGTTTTAATATGGTTAAACTATTGGTAGTATTGCAAAACCATATAATTTTTGTTAGGGAACTGTTAATTAAGTACATCTTTAGGTCATCTGATTGTTTAAGATGCTGAGGTTTTTGGAAGCATTGGTACCTGCATCACTCACAGCAATTTGTTAATATTACTGCTGCTGCCACACAATGGATGGCTCACCTGAGCATTGAAATAATGGCTAAAGATTGTAAAATAAACATGCATTTTTACACTGATGAAACATTAGACATGTGTTAAACGGTGGATAGATATGAAACCCAAATCGTCAAATATTGATGGAAGGGAGTCAGGCTTGATGTCTTTAAGAAGCTCTTCCAGTGCGTATTTAGGTCACTGTGTCAGGAGAAATTGCACCTGTACACAAAACAGCATTTCTGAAAGCTCCAAGAAAACATAAGAATTAATGGATTGTTTGAAATGCAGAATAATTTTGTCCATACAAAAGGTTTAATGCATTTAATCAAAAGCTTTCCAACGTATGTAACGAAATTTATTGCAAAACATTGTGTGATCTTATATGAGAGATCACATATTTTATAAGTCAGTCCACTTTATCTACAGGTAGAATTTTGGCTTTGTTGCTTTTTCAGCTGTGCAGTCAGGTCACTCATATGTACCTTGTGTTTGGTACACTGTAATATGTGTACATATTGAAGGCGACTCATTCCCTTTCTCATGAAAATATGTTTGTTTGGATGATTTGTTTGTCATGTTAGCTTCTGCTTGGCTTCATTTTCTTTATAATCCTCAGATCAAGCTATTTCACCAGATGAATCTGCTTTTCAATTATCTCTAGAAATATGTTGCTGGTGGGCATAATCGGCTGTAATGGCAGTTTACAGTGAGTGACGAACAACTGCAGCATAGTGGTGTTGAGGGATTAGCGCCCAGGCCGTTATATAAGAGAATATTCTGTTCAAAGCCATCAGATCAGCCTTTGCCTCTAATCCCACCGTTGCCTGTGTTGCTGTTTATATATGAAACACCCTACTGTATGTGTTTTTTTTTTTTTTTTTTTTTTTTGCATTCATCCTAATTGATCTTTAAACTTTAAAGTAAATTTTAATTAGGGTATGTTGTAAGGCTAATAATCATAATGTGGATATGTGTGCAGAATCTATTTTTGCACAGATATAAAGACATATATTCTCTAAGATGCCATATTACCTGCTAAAAAAAGATATTGTCTCTCAATGAGACTATCCTGGTTAAATAAGTACATATTGAACATGTTGAATTGAACATGAAATTTTGAAGTTGAATGATTTGAATCCTTTGCTTTATTTATTTAGAAAAATAATGTGTGTATTTGTATAGTTTATTCAGATTTGTCAGATTTAGTTCTGTGTTTCTGATTGTTTAGCTTTGTTTGGTTTAGGTGTTGTGGGTTTAAACCGGGTTAGACCACTGGTTCTTAGAAACATTCACAAGATGGATTTTAAATTACTTTAAAATAACATGTATATCAATAAAAAATCTTTGATTAGAGTATAGTGGTTTAATTAGGTTTGGGTTAAATGTATTTATTGGTAAGGTTTAGATGCTAATTCTTTGTTTATACTTTGGTTCAGTTTGTTATTTTTAGCTTTCTAGAAATGTTCAGTAAAAGTTGAAATACAAGAAGGCATCTCTTACTGTTGTGGGGATGGTGTAGGTGTTGAATGTTGCATTGGCTCAGATCTGCTCCTCATTAGTATCCTGTGGTCACTTGTTTGACACTCAGCATGAGATTGACTCAGGCAAGGTGACACACATACATGCGCTCACACACACACACACACACAACATCACACACTGCCACCCACATAGACCCATACACAGATACAGTAGCTTGCTGTATAAAAAAACATCTTAATTCTAGTCTAACATCTTACCTGGTTTTAATGCATTATAAGATATTTTTTAAATTTTATATCCTTAAAGCCCTTTTAATGACATTTATTCTTAAGTAAATACACTTGACTCATTTCTGTTAGAGGTAAGCATTATTGTCAGCTTGTTCACTGAATCAATTCAGTATAGTTTAAGATAACCAATTCACAAAGTGAATATAAAAAAGGAAAGCAGTAGATATATAGAGTCATGTTTTAAAGTTAATTTCTTTGAATTTAAATGAGTTTATTGCTTTACTTTTTGATCAAAAGGTGTATGTTACTGCAGTAATAGTGTAAGTGTACAGTACTATATTTAAAAAAAAAAGATTTTAATACATAATGTGTTCTGTCTGATCTTGCCAAGGGCACCATGTGAGTCAGAACTGGCACTGTATCTTTTAGTTGTTTGAAAGATGTGTAGAGAGTATTATAGCACCCAAACAAATATGTCAAGTTCCTAAATGGATTTTGAGATCTGGATGGATGAGAAAGCAAAAGTCCCATCTTGAGTGAAGTTTTCATTTACAGGGCACATGCGCTCAGCTTCATTCCTAATCACAACCACGTCAGGATGTCGCTGCTCTCGACAGGCCATTTCATAGTGGACACTGAAATGCTGCCAGCCAAAACTGAATCCATTTCTTTTCGTGAGCTGACAATTGCTGGGTAATTGACTTGGCTGGTGTGCGCTTAGAAACGGCTGGACTTTATAGCAAAGATTTGTTCATGTTCTCTGCCATTTTCTCTAGGTTGTTGCTGCTTTCCCTAAAATGTGCTTTTTTTGAACACAGCCCAGCAGGCACAGGACGTCAACATAATGTTAGATTGACGTTGCACCCCGATGTCATGGGGACGTTGCATTTTGTTTGGAAATGAAAATCGGGTTGAAGTCAGAACTTAACTGACATCAATGTCCAACCTAAAATCAACCAAATATCAACATCTAATGATGTTACAGCTTGTGTGGACGTTACCACTGTATTTTTTTTTTGGTTGCCAAATTTGATGTCAATATGAAGTTGGTTTAAGATTTTGGTCACCTTCTGACATAACCTAAAATAAACCAAATATCAACGTCATTTGATGTCGTTACTGAATGTCAAAATAGCGTTGTTTTTAGATGCTGGCTAGACATTAAATTTTGGTCACCTGACATCATGACCTAAATGTAACCTAATATTAATGTCAAATAACGTTGTGTGCCTGCCTGTAATATTGCAAATGACTATACAAGTTCTCATTTTTTGATCTCTTATTCATTTAGAATAAGTAAAAGACAACTTGGCTGTTGATTCACTTGTTGAAAAAGGGTTATAATCTAAATACTTAGAAAATTATTTTTAAAGTTCAATTCAATTCACCTTTATTTGTATAGCGCTTTTACAATGTAGATTGTGGCACAGCAGCTTCACATAGAAGATCACAGTAAATTGAAACAGTGTCAGTCCAGTTTTCAGTGTTTAGGTTTATTTCAGTTTAGCTCTGTTTAGTCTGGTTAATAATCATTACACAAACACTGAAGAGCAAATCCATCAATGCATTGTCCAAATTAAGTTCTTACTGTAACTATGCATCTTTCTGATAAAAAAAGAAGTTTGTATAGTATGGGAGAAAAAAAAAAAAAAAAGTCTTTTCGAAAGATGATCTTTACCTAATATTCTAATGATTTTCTGTCATAAAAGTAAAATGGATCATTTTGTCTATTCCCATAAATATAGCTATGCAACATAAGACTTTGGGTTTTAAAAGTGTTTTTTTTTGAAAGTGTAAAATTTAGTTTAGATAGTATGCGTTTGAGTTTTTATTTGTTCTTCAATTAGTTAGTTGTGAAGTCATAAAGGCATGGTTAGTGGGACGGCGTATGCCGGAAGAAAGAAAGTGGGTCAGACACAATTTTTGACTGGACGATGCACCTCATTTTTTTTGTTGGAAGAATCTTAATAGTTATATCTGAATTTTGATGCCTATTTTGTAGGTCAGTTATTTGTTTAATAAACAAATGGAGCGAAAAGAAAGAAGCAGTTTAAATATGGCTGACTCAATGAAAAAAAAATTGTGCAAAGGAAGATGCAAAATAATGTCTTTCACTGGCCACAATGCATCATGTTTTAACCACAAACCAGCTTTTATAAACAAAAGGGGAAATAGTTTATGCTGAGTTGTGTGCAAATTGTTTTGTTTTGTTCATAATATATTGTTTGTGCTTTAGTGAAGCATTCGGCAAAGTGTACATTGCTTACAGTTTTGTGTTTTTCATTGTTTTTAGTTTCTGTGAGTGTAATTTGTGAGTGTGTGCATGCATGTGTGAATATTTCCATGAATAATTTCTGTATTTATGGTGGTTTAATTTACTTTTTTATGGTGGTACTAATTTACATTTATTAGCAACTGTGTTTAAATGCAAATTATTTATAATGGCTGGTTAAACCACCAAGGTTTATAATACCAAAATAATTGCAATTTAAAAAAATATATGGAGATGTGTTCAGGCATAGATGTGACTTATAATACCCGTCATCTTGACAAAAGCTAATATAATGGTTTAAATTACATTTTTATCATTAATTGCTATGTGCTTCCCATGCAGGAGTGATTTCATTTTCATAAATGCATTCTTTGAGGTGTAGGATTGTCATACAGTGTGTGCAGTTGCTTTCAGCTGAAAGAGCTTTGAGGCTTTATCTCTTTTTGTGCCTATTAGAGTTTTAATTGACCTTCATTGACTCTTATCTGAGGCAATTTCCATTTTAATGACAGATTTTTGACTTGGGGGTAATGGATCTTTCCTTCTTGGGTGTTATTGAGGTATTAGCTTCCTGAAAATTGAGATGTTATACCCTGACTTCCATTGTTTATTGTGCAGTTATGGATTGTTTTCTTGTAAAATGTTGTTTTTCTGTCAGTTGTACTGATATATAACCAACCATCAAAATCATAACT